CTCTCAACAAAAAATAACCCTAGGAATCGTCTCCAATGGAAAACTAATGGAGAAGGCCCTAAGGTTTACAAGACTCCATAAAGAACAACGAAAAACCATCCTCCAATGTCCCAAAAGTTCTCTAATTAACCCATAGCATCTCCTTATAGAGCTATTGCCAAAACCGCCATGAAAAAAATTGTCAATTTAACCATGATCGGGCCACAACATAGCAAGGCTCATGCCTAACGTAATTATGTCGGATTAACAACAAGTGCGGTGTAATAATGCCACAGAGTGACATAATTTCGTCATATCAACATTCTCACTCGCTTTGTGTTTTGGCTTCACAACGCATCAACTCATGTAACCTGCAAAATATCACCATACAACCTTCCACGACTATAAAATCATGATAAATAAGAAAAAATATATGATACTTAAAGCAGAGAAATCCCGTAAATTTACATTGTATCAACTTCCCAACTATACCGTGATATAAGATCATTGTACCCCATAGTCTCGTTGTTGTCTCGACCGACAAAAGATAAAGGCGACTTTGCCCCTTCTAAACGCGATCAACACTCAAAGGAGGATGGCTTAGATTACCATGATAACGCCTGCTGCTTCATGAAATCCTGACTATTTACCCAATATGCAGCGATCCTTTATCTGATTGCTTCATGGTGGAAACTTTGGCTCTCGGATCGAAACTAGGGCATGCTCAATCCTACTTCTTTGTTTCCTAGAACCGAATGCTTTGATACCATTTGATACGATTCAACATGATTTTCCATAAAAATGAGGGCAAATATGTATTTATTGCAAGAACTTCAAACATTAAACACATACAAAGATAATCACCTACAAATTCAAGAAGTAGATGATCTCTCTAAATTCCTACAATTTGAGAGGCGGGAAATCTCTCCCAAACCCAAACCTTAAGACTCTCAACAATAATCATGCATAACTATAACCCTAAACATATTGGTCATATTTATAATATACAATAATAAATGACAAATGACTAATTTGTCCTTAAGTCAATAAAGACTAAGTCCTTAGGGACCAACATAACAGAGTTATAAAGGACAAGAATAGTGTATAATAAAAGTTGACAAAAAATTAAATGTTGTTGGGGCTTGAGAAGGCTATAAGAAAACAAAAGTCTCGTAGAAAAAGCGGGTAAATATTATAACATTGATGATTTATATAATAGTCTTGATTAAAAAAAGAAAAAAATTTAAATTGATGTGTCATCAACAAATTCATCATATGACACAAATCTCAAGGTATTTTTGAGTTAGACTTATTTTAATTCAAAATAAAAATCATCCACAACTCCAATTTCAACAAACTTATAGTCAAATCGAATGGCTTGACAAGACGAACCCAATGACACTAAAATTGATCAAATCAGAGTCAAATCAAGCCCAGATTAAGCTATTAATCACTTTTGAAAGCATTGGGTGGTCGATTGAAAGGTCAAATGGATTCCAAATCTAACAAATTTATAGTAAAAGCGACTGTCTCAGTAGGATTCACCCAAGATCACTCTATTTCCACATCAATCATTAAATCACTTTTGTAAGCATTGGGTAGCCAATTGGAAGGTCAAATGCAATTCAAATTTGACTTATAGTAAAAGCGAGCGTCTCAGTGGGATTCGCCCAAAATCACTCGATTTCAATATCATTAAAGCACTTATATATCCTTGAATTATCATCTGATTAAAGAAATCAATTTAGGCTGCCCAATATAGTTATTTGGATTCCTACCTTATTTACAGGGAATCTCACTAGTAAAGTCTATAAATGGAGCCCTACTCTTTTCATGAAGCATGAGGAACTAGACTCGGTTCTGAAGAAAGAGGAAGATGAGTCAAATTTGAAAGCCGTTCTGGAATTGATGGTCCGACGACAATGACCGTAGCTACCGACCACCATCAATTGTCCCTGCTCGTCACCATTAGTGGACCTGACAAAGTAGCAACGTACTTCACAACAAAGTCCCCTGAGGACAACGACATAGTGGAGTAAAGAAGCACCGTGCAGATTAACGGTATACATTGAAGATACAAAGCAGCACAGTACTGTGCAACAACATACTTTAAAGACAGTGTACAAAATTCTGATGATGACTCCCTGTAGTAACTGCTCCTGATCATTATACAACGAACCCTTCTGCGGACAATGTACTTGGAGAGGCCTTAAAACCCTTTCCCGTCTATGGGATGAAAGTCTATACTTGTACTCCTAAGCTTATACTGGATGAGACTCCAACACATGTAGAGACAAGTCTTAAGAAATTTTTTTCATCCAAAGGCTGCAACACTAAGTTTTTGCAATAAAATCATAACACAAAATACTCGTAGAGACAAGTTTTTGCAATAAATCCAACTTGGTATACATGATACAAGAGGTGTTGTGGAAAAGAAGGAAATCCCAAAAGGAAAAACACAAAAATCCGTTTAAGAATATTCATCCAAAGGCTGCAACACTAGCCTCTCAAAATCTCTCCCAACTAAAAAAAAAAAAGTAGTATCACCACAATTAAAAGGATTCAAATAAAATATATAATTACTTCTTTTGAATCCTTAATTTGGATTGCTTTATAAGATTCAAACATGGGTTTTTGCATCTAAAATATTATCTCCAAATCTCACATGATAAGCCCTCAATTTTAAAAATAAAAATAAAAATAAAATTAAAATTAAAATAAGGTGCAATTGACTATTATGATAATGAAATTTTGAAATTGATCTAGTAAGAAATCTCCTTACTTATCATGAATCTCCTTATATTTTGAAGGAATGTAGCTAAAATTTAAAGAAGTTGGTTGTACTTTCAAATTTAAGGATACATTCATCCTTTATTTAGGCAAGTTAAGCTTTCAAGTCTTAAGGAATTTTTTTCATTGATTCCTGTAATTGTTTAATTGTATACTAATAAATGGCTACCATGAGCCGAAGAGATATCAACAAGCCCAATGTGCCTCAATCATCTATTATTTCCTTAGTGGGCCTCCATCACCTACACCGTTCTTTTGAAATACAGTCATTGAATATCAGTTGTCAGATTGACCAACCGACTTGACCTATCGAACTGACCAAGTCAAATACTAGCTACCGAGTAGACATGTCAAATTAACCTGCCAAGCACATCAACTCGATACATCTTAAATCATCTGTCGAGTGCTAGCTGCAAAGAGAGGATAAACACACATTCGACTGCGCCTGATGACAGGCTATCCATCCAAATGTCATATCGATCTGTCATTGATATACTAGACAAACAGACATCGAGATGCACTAAAATCATTAAATATTTTTTCTCTGTAAGAAATGAGAGAGAAATCATCTCAAAACCTATAAATAGAGATGATCTAACACCTTCGAGGGAGAGGATATTCTTCCTTTTTACCCGGATCTAGAGCTTGCTCAAGCTCTTTTCATAGAGCAATTGTGCATTTTGTTCTCTTGTTCTTCCATTACAGGTTTTGCTTAGGTTGTGTGAGCCACAATTCAAGATTCAAAATTAATATTTTTATTATATTCATGTAATATAAATAGATATTAATCGATACAATCAAAATAACATTTCTAAATCTGAAATATCATAATCAAATTTTACTCTTTTCTGGTCACAATATTTTCCCACCTTCCAAAAATATGTTACATGACCGCCATAGTAAAAATTTACATTTTAGGTTGTAAGGATGAATGAAAAGATAAATTCTCATATTAATGAATTATAATGCAATATAGTAAATGCATATGAACATAAGTAGAGAAATTAAAGTGAAATAGTACTATTATGAGAACCAATTAGTTTTACCTCCAACATCCAAGCACAATCAAAATTACATATAAGCATATATATCAATTCAATGTTACTAGAGTTGAGCTTGGCACCCTCCTATGAGCTTGAGCAAGGTAAGGCATAGAACCTACAACTAAGTTCAACCAAATACCATTACTAAGGAGTGCCTAAGCAAGTGTCTTGTTCTAAGATGCTACACAAGAATTAGGCTCATTATCTTGATTTGAAAGATGGTATTAATACTTCAAATGCTGAATAGAGATAGTTTATGAAATTATGTTTCAACATGTGATGAAATGAAAATATCATAAAGAGATGGAGAAACAAGCACCCATCCTATAAAAAAAAAAGTCAATTAAATGCAAGTGCAATAACTTTATTTTTAGAATAGTAAAACTTAAAATGGAGAAGATGATCTTAGGGGAAAAAAAAAGAGAGAGATTGAGAATTCTAAATCGGGTGATAGAAAAGAGAGAATGAAAGATGACAAAAATAAGGAATAGATAGAATGAAGATCAGGTAATTATTAAGCTATACATGCTAAGAACTTAAGTAACTTAATTATATTAGTTTAAAAATATATTTGGTAATTTTTTGAAGTTGGAACACAGCTGAAACTTCAAAATTCATTGATTTTCTGACTTATCTAATCTTATGATTATCATTTTCAACCCTTGTGAAATCACAAAATTCACCAGTCAAACCAATTCTTGCACTATTCATTTAGTTGCTTATATATAGAAAAAATATATTTTCCTAAACACGATTTCTAGTTTCAAGCAGCCAAATTAAACAAGCCCGCAGAACAACTCACTGTTCTGATTTAAGGACTCATGTTCTTTAAAGCGACAATAAGGCCAAAAAAGCAATAATCCAGCTCTTCCAACAACTGCTAGTGCAGCAACAGAGCTAAGAATCCTCAGATATTCAAAGAAAAACACAAAAATATCTTTCTGATCACTTAAAAACAAATAAATGACCCAAATTTCTTGCCATCCAGCTAAAATGGTTGAAATCTAAGCCCCGAAGCAACAAACAACCTTTCACCAAGATCATAACTTTCTGCTACAAATGCCCTCTCCCAACCATTCCGACCAACTGAAGCAAAACACTAACATCAACCAAAATAATAATCCAACAAGAAAGCCAGCCAAGCTTCTTCAATGAAAAAAAAAAACAAGAACATAGCAGGAAACTCACCTGTTCACCAGTAAAACCCCAAGACAGAAGCAAGAGATGCAGAGAAAGCAGACCATTCTCGCTGAGAATCCCCCCATCACTCTCTGATGCTTCGTCGCAAGCAGCGCTCCCATTGCTCTCCCAAAAACCCCTCTATTTAAAAGCTCCTCAAGCACCAGCCGAAGCAGCCGTCGCCATTAGCGGAGAAGCAAAAAGCTCGAGCCTTTCACATCACGCAAGGCTCCTCCGAGTCCCCACAAACCTAAAATCGCGGCCGCAAACCATTGGGCAGTAGGCATTGATGGCATTTTAAGCAAGCATTGGCGAACTCGGAGGAGTATAAAGGACCAGAAGGAAATAAATGGAGATCGAGGAATGATGGATATGTCGATATCTTTTCTTCAGCAAGACACTGACTTTTTAGTTTTTACCCTCGACAGCAATCTCTTTGGCGTATGTGAGTAAGAGATTTGAATTACTGCCGATTTAGAGGCTCTTGGTTTTATTGGTTTGAATTTTAAATATTTAGAATATAATATTAAATAAATAAAATTATATTCCTAAAATATTTTATCGATATTTAATAGTTGTTAAGAAAATTAAGTGCTTAGGATTTGTTTAGTCTTTTTTTTTAATTTATTTAAGAAAATTATTGAGTATATATATTTTTTTATGATTTTATTTTTCTAAGTAAATTTATTTCTTTTTCATAATTTTCAAAACATTTAAATTTATTTTTTATGCTTTTAGAAATAACGATTATTCTATAGCTTCTAATGGATGCTTCACTTGGAATAAAAATATAAATAAAATAAAATTAAGAAAAAGAAAAAAAAATCAAATTTGATCCCAAAAAATTCTCTTAATAATTTAAAATATAATTAAGTATTATTTTTATTTATTAAAGAGCCATTCAAAACAATTATATTTTTTTAATTACTACATAACATTTAATTTGATGATATTTAGAAATATTTTAATAATTATTATTATTTTTATTTATCAACAATTTAATTTCGATTTGAAATAATTAAAATTTAAATTTTTTTCCAAAATATTTTTCTTCTATCGCATCATCATTTCTGTAACAGCACAATTTTAAAATTAAACTAAAAATATATATATTAAAATAATTTATGTTTTTCAAGATGAATTTAAATTCTTAATTCTTATATTATTTGATTTTTTTTTAATTTCTGAATGAATATTAAAATTTATTTGAATAACACCTACAGCTATTGCATGGGGTTTATTTCTTGAATGAAAGTTTATATTGTCTTATGAATAAATTTTCATTTTTTATTGCAATCATACCCAAGAGAAGGTTTTATATGAAATGCATATTTTCGTTGCAAATTTAAAAGTATGAATATCAAATTTATAAAAACAAATAGGGCTGTCAAAAAAGTTTGTTGTTCGCGAACAGTTCGTGTTTGGTTCGTCAATGAGTTCGTGTTGAATAAGTAAACGAGACGAACGTGAACAATTTTTTTTCGTTCGGTTAGTTAAATGAACCATACACGAACAATGATGCGTTCGTTCGTGTTCGAATCATTATTGTTCGAAATATAAAATAATTTTAAATAATTATATATATATAT